GTGCTGCAGGCAACAGCTCCCTTACTCGGTGCGGCACAGTAGACAGTCGTCAACTTCTTCTGTTGCTGGAAAGCAGAAATGGCCTGGACTGCAGGACATACTTTTGTTACTTGTCCCTCCTTGTTTTTCTGACAGGAGAGACATTTTATATACCCTGGCACAGATGTGTAAATGGAATTACATTTCTAGATAGCAGTAAAACTGTTTTTCACTGACACTGAGACTTCATTCTTATGGTTTATTACACTTTCAATTTGTCATGCAAAACATAACAGCTTATTAGAATAACTTAATCAGTTAGCTTGTGACTGATGTCTTCATTAGGCACTATACGTACACTCTGTGCTGCTCTTACAGGTCTATTGTTTGACTGCAAATCAGGCTCCTTCATTAAGGCAGCTAAACAGCACTTAAAGAACAAAGTTGGGAAACCCATGGTAATATTACTGTAATCGGTGGAAGAACTACTAAATACATTTACCTTTAAACGAAATTCTCGCTAAGACTGAGTTAGATTAAAGTAAGCTCTGCAGAGGTGAATGGAGCAGTAAGGAAAAAATTCTTTGTGATGCTAGACTCTAGGACGACTCGCACCTGGTCTGTGCTTGTTGCAATTCTTGCCTAACTTGAGTGCAGGGATGCAGTACAACAGAACTGTGTTTCTTTAGTCCCTTGCCTGACTATGCAATCACTGACAAGCTATTTTAAGTAATTAGGGAGTGTACTTGTCAATAGGTGATTGCTGGTGTAATGCAATAATATGTACAATCTAAGATGAGAAAAATTGATGTCTCTTAAAGAATTTGGCCCTTCACTGTTCTGATTCACTCTTCTGCAATATGTTGGAATAGTAAAGAATTATTCAGTTAAATTTAAAAATGCTGTAGAATCTAGTTATGTTCGGTGTATGTGTAGGGATTTTTTTTTTTTTTTTTTTCCCCCCCCCTCTCCGTGTCCTCCCCTGGGCTGGTTCAAGAAGCCAACTGAAAACTTCCCTGCTGCCCAGCCATTCTCTAGCAGTGGGGCTATCTGCTACTTGGGTGTTGAGGCACCCTGAGCTACAAGCAGTACCCATGCAAAAAAGAAGGTTGATAAGTGGCTGGTGGGGGGGAAGGTGAGACTGGCAGTCTTACTTATCTTTTTTTGTCCTGAAACTAATTCTGAGTAAGGAAAGGAGAATTCTAGTCTTCCAAACAGAAGAACACGTGAACTAAACCCAGAAATACTAAATGCTTGCATCGCTTTAAGCTTACTACTTAAAGACTGCTGGAATGCTGTGTTACAGGGCAATACGCTAAACAGCAGGTGCATGTGTATAGGACAGGTGAATTTGCTTTTGCAGAATGTGACCTGGGAGAGTGAGATGGCTGGACCACTCTGCACACCCTGTAAAATGTTTTTGCTTTAGGTGCCATTCTTCGCTTTTGGGAGTGTTTACTCTTGCCTTCGCTGAAGGCAGCCATATGATATTGCTGTTCAGTTAAGGAAGGCCTCCTATGTGGGTTAGCACTTCCCCACTGCCCTAGTTCAAATAAAACCTCCTCCGCTATTACTTGTGACTTACTGACAGATGTGTCACCATCCTTATTTTCCATGTCATGTGGATGCTAAATCTTTTTTCTAGTGCATGAATACATTGTTAAGCTGTAGCAGGCTCATGTGAAGGAGCAGCTTGTCTTCAGATGACACTGTCCACCAGGTAACATGAGATGATACTCATTAAGTTGACTCTCAATTAATTAATTTGAAGCATGATTGTCATGTAAAACAGGGAGAATCTTCCCTCTCCTACTGTGTTTTCTCAAACACATGAGACTGAATACTTTGGTTGTGACATTGTCCCTTGTTAAAGTTCTTGGCAACAGTCACTTTTTATTTTCCCCTACATAAAGAAAGATGCTCTACCCAGAGGCTCTCTCTATCTTGCTAGGAAGCCTACAGAAAAGCTTCAGGTTAGAACTCAACTAGTTAATGAACACTATTCAAAGTCAGCAATCTGGTTCTTGCTCTGCCAGGTATTGCTGTTAAAGTGTATCTTGTACTCTGGCTAACCCCTGCCTCAAAAAGAGAAGTTCTCGCACTTGCTTTTTACAACAATGGGTAAATCCCAATTCACCTTCCAGTGCCTTAACAAGAGCCAAATCTTGAACTCGGCACTATACTCTTTGCTCTTGGCATAAGAGAGGAAGATGCTTGTCAGCAGTGAGGTAGGTTCCTTACCAGCTGCTTGAGTCCTGGTGACTTTTTAACCTTAAAGAGGCAGAAGGGCTCTTGCAGCATGCTTATGTGAAGGTGGTGACCTTTGCTTAAGGGAATGGGAGGGAAGGGGCTTTTGACATATTTTCTGTAGAAAATGAAGTACCACACTACGTCTAAAGGATAAAATAGCTCATCTGTCATAGTTGAAGAGGTCCTGCTTCACCTTTATAGTTGCTTGGGTGGTTGTTGGGCCAGTGCTGAGCTGATTCAATACACTGACCTGGTTTTAAAGAGTTGGATCGCATGAACTCATACTGACTAAAAGCATCTTTGAAACCTGCACAGTCACAGCCCTGGTGGGAGGGGAGGTAAAGAGTTGGCTAGTGGTTGCCTGCTACTGCATAGTTTTATGTGTAGAGCATGGTTGCACTGACCAGATGCTGATGACAGGATAAAGCTGTGATAGTCCTCTATCTGTGACTGTGTTGGAGCCACAGAAGCAGGTAGCACAAAGAGGTGACCTAACTCTGGAAGGTACCTGATGATGAGAGATAACTCGAGCTTTGTAGTCTTCCAAGTGACTTGGATTTATCCCTGACAACTGATAATGCTCTTTCCAGAATTACTAGTCCAGGAGAATTAAAACAAACTTACCTTGGATGAAGGGGAGGAGAAAAAGAAAAAATGCTGAGTAGAATTACATAGAATCTTATTGGCAAGATATACCACCCACAGAAGTATGGTTTTAGAAAAGTCAGATTCATTGGTATGGGCTAGATTATTGTTGTATCTGCTGGGCTGGGGGGTGGAGGGGGCTTGCAAGGGATTGTTTCTTTTCCCTATCCTGCAAAGGAAGCTCCTCCTTCTTGGGGTTTAATCAGGTAAAATAGCTGACTGAAGACAACTGAAAAATCCACAAACACTAGAAATTCAGATAATGGATGACTAGCAAGTGACTATTTTTAGCCCAGTTTTATGACAAAAATTAAAACCATTTAAAGTTGTCTTGAAGAATCAAGATTTCCTTAAGACAATTTCTTGGACTCTTTTGTTGGAACAATATAGTTGCTGCTACATCAGGAAATACTAATCAGTTCAGCTGCAGCAATAGACCTCTCAGTCCCACCTGTGAGTAGACACACCAGCTATTTTCCATCCTGAATGGTGTAGTCCTGCAGTTTAAAAACTGGAAGAAAACAGTGCCGCTTATATTAAGATCTTCTTCTCATATCAACTGCTAATGAGTTGACACACCTTCTGGGAGGAATTTTCCTTTCCAAGTTACGAGCCTGATCTCAGAGGCACAGAACTAAAGGCTGTCTATTGATAAACTTGCACTGTGTCTTTCAAACTGCTTTTGACAGATACTCTGGTACCTGAGTCCTTCTAGCACAGTCAGGTCCAGCTTTTAAAATAAAGACTGCTAGTTCATGTAGAAGCCAAAAATAGACCCAAGTAAGCTTCTTCAGCAGAATAGGATACAGAAAAATAATGTTGAAACTATCTGGTGCACTTATCCAACACTTTTTTAGTTATCACATTGAGTCACAGGATTTGAAACAACCAGTACAAGAAACATTAATAGGCTGGTCTTGCTCTGTTATAGGCTTTGCTGATCTGTCTTTCAAAAGCTGTAACCAAGAAGCAGTCCGACTCAGAAGTGTCAGTTTAATTTGTATTGTACTTCAGCACAGGTTTTGGCATCTGCTCGTGTGGCATCTTGATATCTGGCAACAGGAAAATAAAGCTTTTTTATTTTAAATTTAAAAAGGCAGGTATGTCAGGTGAGGGCAACCATCTTGGAATGGCTACAAACCCTAATTCTACTAAATGGAGCCAAAGGTATGCAGGAGCCATGTCAATACAGCCTTACTTCTGTGATGCTGCTGATGAAACAATGGATCTTGCTAGACCTAGCCTAGATTTTATTGCCTCCTCCCCTTTGGCTGCCATTGCTAATCATGAAGCTTTCAGAGGGGCCACATGGAAGTTGTCTGATCTCATGAGGTAGCTTCGAGATGTTAGCAAGCCGTCCCTGGTATTGAAGAAGGGTCATAGGTTCTTGTTACATCATCCCTTTCCTAGGGAGGGAGGAAGCTGTACCAAACAGGTGTTTTGCTCAGTTTTTGCCTTAAATGTAGAAGGGATTATGTATCAAATTTCAGCATCTCTGGTAGCTTCTGCCTCTCAGAATAAGGTGGAATTTTTTCCTCAAATTAATCTTAGTGCATTTTCATCCCTTTGACTTTGTTCTGTTATGGCGGATCTGCATATCACTGTAAGCCTGTTCTGACTGAGTCTTAGATGACTGAGTCACTGAAACTTAACAGTAGGTGCAATATTCTCTGAAACTGGAGTACTGAGATAATAAGGAACACATACATACCTAAGCTGATCCACTTTATTTTAATGTGTCTGAAGGTTAATGGACTGTACTTACCTTAAGCTGAAGGGGCTGGTTTGGAAGCTAGTGGTGGAAAGACCTGAGGGAATAAACTTCTAATTATAACCAGGGAACCTTCTGAAGTGGAGCAACTTAAAGGGGAGCATATATGGCCCTTAAGGGGTCAAGAGGGCTTTTAATGCTGAGATACAGAAGGGAGGCAGTGAGACTGAGCCCTGTAAATAGCTCCAGTCAGGAACTGTTGCCCATAGAATTCCAAAAATCTTAGTGTCTCCTTTTCTTGTTGTTTCTTGAGTGAGTTCTGGAGCTTTTTGCTGACTCAGGGAAATTAAGGCTTTGATTGTTAGGTGAGCCTATACTGCAGTATTAGTATTCAGTTAAAATACTGCAAGCCGGTATGGTGGCTGGGTCTAATGCTGATGGAGATCCTGGGAGTGGAAGTAAGGTTACTGTTTCTGCTTGCAGACGTGTAATTCTTCCCATTTCTTCTTGAATCTTAAGATTCCGGTCATCAACACTAGGAAATGAAATATCTAATCATTAATATATAGAAACTAAGATCACAGATCTAATGCTGATAATTTTTACTGAAACTGGAAGGCAACACTTGCTCTATTGTAGGAGTACTGGAAGACTTTCTATGCTGTGACATTATTCATTATACTCAAGTGTCAAGGGCAATGTTGTATAAATATTTTTACAAACTCTGGTTAAATTAACTTCTCAGAAGGTCTTCTGAATCAGGACAAAACAATTGCTTTGATAGCTCTAAAATATATAGGGTGTTCTCATTTTTCCTTTTAAAATTCTATTTAAACTAGAACTAGCTTAATACAGAGCTTATATTCTCAAAAGGTACTGTTAGACACTACAGACTTCAGTGTACCATGAAAAAATGTGGTTCTGATAACTAAGAATAGTCCTCTTAAACATGGTGGCATGCAGCAGTGTGTACAGTATAAAATGACATTCTGGTGGATGACAAGGTAGACAATCTTATGGAAATTCTGAATCCCTCTGTAGCACTTGCCATTTTAAGGCCTGACTTTGAAGACTGTTTAAGTAAAATATTGTTATGCTTGTAAGACTTACTGGAAAATGAGCATTTACCCTCCTAACAACTAATAGCCTATTATATTTCTAGAGACTGAATGGTATTTCAGTTTAGGGCATGTAGCTGTATATGAAATACTCTGAAAGCTTTTTGCTGGGCACTTCCACAAAACAGAGATTAAAATGGAAAAATATTTATAACTTCTGGAGTGAGTTTCGAAGAGCACTGGTCTTAAATGACATTCAGAGTTGGTGTCACCTGCAATAAAAAAAGAAATAATCCCTCCCTGCCTTGGCAACAGCTGGCCTTGATCAGTTTCTTTTGCTGTATTGTTTTCCCTGCCTGTAAGCCCAGCGCTTTAGGTAGATTGTATGTAGAAGATCTTGATCCTTGGGGGTGTGTGCACAGTTTTGTATCTGTGGGCTTTTTAATTCTGTAGACGATACAGTCAAAGCCTTTAACAGTGAACATAATACTGAGCACATAATGCAAGCAGTGATTAAATATTTAATTTCCCCTAAACAGGAAGGGTTATAGTGGGAGAAGTCACTCTCGCTTGCTGTGGCTGCAGCCAGCCGGATTCTTCCCCACCCCATGAGCAGCACTGCAACACAAGGAGCTGCTGACCTCTCCATCCTCCCCCCACCTCTAGTGTCCTTTGGTTATTAGTCTGAGGGTCTTAAATGTTAGGTCTGTCAGTAATGAGGGCAACTGACCTCTGCCCCGCTGGGTGAACTGCTAATGAGTTCCAGGTGGTTGTCGATCGGCTGGTCTAACTTCAACCTTCTCTGCCCCTGGAACAGAGCAGAGCACAGGGCACAGCCTTTGCTTGTGACCTGCGACTGGCTTGCTTGAGCAGCATATTTTTCTCAGTGTAAGTAATAGAGCAGGCTAGGATATATTACTGTCTTGCCTCTGTATTTTTTATTTTGTATTTGTACTTCTGTAAATGCTCACAGGAGAGACAATTGCATGGTTTTTAGACTAACAGGTACTTAGTGTTTCTAAAAGTCCATTCTTTTGATTGAAATATAGATATGAGGGAGAATACACTTGTCCTATATGAATATTTTTAAACAAGTGTTGTGACTTGTTTTAATGGATTGGAAATGTAGATAACTGAACTAGTGTTCCCATGTAGTACTAAACTGTTGAACTTGGAGAAACTAGAATATGATGTAGTTCTGTTAGTAAATGACTGGACTAGAAATTGCACTCTTCATTATCGAGGCTGGTCCAGTGTAGAGGAAGGTTTCCTTCGCTTCCTGCCTCCACTACCCTTGCCTTGGCTCAGTCAAAAGTGTAATGCATTGTGAGGCAGTTGTTCAGTGAAACTGTTGTCAGCTGGCCCAGGTTGCTGATATGGCTTCTCCGCTAGCCAAATCATAGATCAGCAAAAAAATAAAAATATAAGTAGTGTATAGATGCAAGTGGAATAGTAACAGAGATTAGAATGTAGTTCATGCTTTTAAATACATATATCCTGTTTACTGAAACCTAGCACAGCTTCTGGTGTTATCAGAACAATCAGTGTGCTGTTATTAGGAATATTTTGCATTCCTTGGGGTGGAAAAGTAAGATAAAGTCCTTTAAAGTGGCTAAAAAGGGG